TCATCATCATCGCTGTCGTATATATTAGCCCCGTTAATATACACATACCACTCGTTTATATTCATTTCCACCAGCACCTGATATGTTTTGTTTAGTTCCAACTCAAAATAATCGGCATCTTGTCCGGTTTTAGTGTTAGCAATTTGAAACTTCCACTTCTTTTCCCTCGTGTACGACAAGTCAAAGAGAGCAGTACCGTCCGTGTCATTCATCCTCGCACCCATCAAAGGAGTGTCCTCCTCCGGCACCGCGTGGATCGCCACCGTCGCCACAAGAGTGAACTCGTTGTTCGCAAAGTAGTACGGCTGGTTCTGCCCCTTGCTGCCCACCGGCCACTCCGCCCCCGCTGCTGCGCCTTTGAACCTCAAGCCCCACTCCGTGCTCGTCACTGTCTCACCCTTCACCGTTGCGTTCACGCCGAGGTACTCGTCCTTCCATACTTTCCCAGCATCAGTTCCATCCGTTAATGCGTTGGACAAAAAGCCAACCAGCCCTTCCGTGGGAATAGGGCCATTACACACATTCTTTCTTCTCAGTGGGTCGACGATCCCAGTGGAAGTGCAACCTTCTAGTGCGGCGTCAATTTCTTTCCAAGTTTTCACCACTTCTTTTATCCGTTCCAACTGCGCAGTCAGGCGCACAGAGACAAGGCTGAATGAGTCATCCCCATCATTCTTCTTCTCGTACAGCAAAACCAACTCCTCCTCCTTCTCACTCTTCTTTCTGTACAGCAGGGAGCTGGCGGCAGCGTCGTGCTCTTCACTGGATACCGGCCCAACGTCATGCACACGGGCATTGTCTGTCACCCAAAGATGCAGCCGGCCCTTTCCGTTTTTGTTGTCTTCCTTTTTCTCCTCTGAATACACAGGCGTGGTGAGGAGCATCACCTTCTTGTCCTCGATGGCTGCGGTGATGAAGCCGCTCCGCACGCCGTCCCCTTGACGCTTCAGTGAGGTGCCCCACACGCGAGTGATTGGCGTACTGCCAAACCAATCTGTACCAGCCCCAGTGGACTTGTACGCGT